ACTCAGTCCTAGTGGTGCTATTGATTCGGTGCAGCCTCTAAATGTCCTGCTTTGAGTACAGGCAGTGATTTTTAGAGGGCTACATTCTGGCTAGAACACTGGCTGGCTCCATAGCCAGACAGGTGATAAAATTTACAAACACCTGGGATCTTAACATGCAAACTGGCTATCTATCTACTTTAGTCTTAGGTTCAGGCAGATGTTTTATTTATCACACATGCAGCATCTTTTTGTTATGGGTATATTTTGCTATATGGGTTTATAGGACCTCACGAAAATTTCCTTCTTGCCTAGGAATTCCTGGCTGTAGGAAGGGTCATTTACTGAAGTCAGGAGTGCATATATACAACAGAAAGAATAATTTACTCTACTACTGCAATTACTAGCAAAAAACAGTGACCTCTGTTAAGCTGGAGGCCAAGGTAAGTAAATGCAATAGTGCTTTCTAGTTTTAAAAACTCCTAGAGCATCAGAGGAGGCCTCCCCTTACACATGTATTGAGGATAGCTATCTAGCCATCTAGACAAGATTCCTATTAGGATGTTAAACTTCTGAGTGTTCTAAGTTAGAAATAATTATTTTAGTGCAACTGAAATGCAATCTTTAGCTAGCACTGAGATTGTCTAATTGATGGGGAAAAAGTCTCCAAGGATTTCATGCAGTTTAAGTGTAGTAATTACATATATATTACCCTAGGGTTATGAAAACAATGTCAGATAGCTCAGGAGACTCTTCAATCACAGAACTCTCTGTGCAAAAATAGTTCAACTCTGATTCAGAAGACTCAGCTCTGCTGATGTGCCTCTCCCCATGCCTTTTTAGAGCAGTGTCTGCTGAAACTGCTAACTTAATGGTAACTTTGACTTTTTGTTTCCAAAGGACACTGTCCCTGAGTAAGAAGTGGACTAAAGACATCGCACTCATGGCACAATTATTGCTGCTCTTCATCTTTTTCATTATTATGCTTTTTTTTCCTCTATAGATTCAGGCTGGGAAGCGGAAGGACCAGCCAGCAATACCCCTCTGCTTGTGGTGCACTACTTTTAGAAGTGTCTTACTGCTTCACTGTTTTTTTTAACCCCAGTTTTTTAGCCAACTGTGTAATGATGGATTTGGCAGCCACAGTCTTGCCAGCCACCCCAGTCAGCTGAGCAGCAGTGTCTTAGCTGCAGGGGGATGCAAAAGCTGCTCTCTCCCCATTCTGCAATGGGAGACAGTTTCTCTATTAATCAGAAACACTGAAGTTGGACTATGAAGGAAGGTCTCAGGGAAGCTGCAATAGAAAGTTCATCTGTATTTGCAAAATTTACAACTATATGATTTGCAGACGGTGGCAGGGATCTGCCTTCTCATCACTAACCTCTTAAATCAAGTACCTGGCATTGCAGTATTTCCTGCTGAACTACTTTCTCATTTTTAGACTGTGAATCAAAAGCATCCAAAGTAAAAAAAAAAAAAAAAAAAAAAAACCTGCATTTTCTTGAGTCCTTGTCATAACATTATTAGCATCATTTAAGTACAGACCAGGACCTGGCAGCAGCCAAACCTGCACCCTGCTGATTATCATGCCTCACTGTGTCTAACAGACGCTTGACTTAAGAACCCAACAATTTCATTGCTCAAACATTTCATTAGACCCCTAAGCCTAAAAATGGTTTTCAATAATGTGCGTCCTGCTTTGGGGCCTCAGAAAAGCCACTTTGGGAGCTAGGAAACATTTCTTGGGAGGCAAAATGACATCAAAAACACATTTGATAAAAAGGAGAAGGCATAATGATGGTTTTTACTCTAACGTTATTTTACTTCATTTCAGAAGTATGCTGTAAGCTTAACAGAGGGGGAAAAACACTGGATTTTGCTTTTCTTATTTTTTAAAACAAAATTATTCTCATCTAAAGTTTGGTTGCTGGCTTTTCTTCCCCTAAACCCAATAAACTATATATTGGAATGACCTTGTAGCAGGATTCTATGGCTCTTTAATCACCAATGGCTGCTAAATGAAGCATATCTATTTTCTGTTACATTACTATTGGCAACCAGGTCTTCAGTAAGTGCCCAGAAATATTTCCATGGCAACAAAAAGCATTCAGCATTGCTACTGTTTTGGGCCAATCTAGCTTTAAAATATTCTATTGTGGAGAGAAATATGGTACATTAAGTGAAATAAAGTCAAGATGCAATGTTCTGAAAAGAATATAAGGATAAACAGGAAACATGTATTTTTCAGAAATGGGGTAAAAAAATGCCAAATGGAAGGAAAAATATTCAAAGCTAATATAATGCTACTGAATGTCTTTACTGAATGTCAGCAAGCCCATATGCTCACTTACATTGAAAGGTTTAGGTAACAAAGCTAACAGAAATAAAGATACCTCAAACATCTTCTCTTGATCTTTTTAATCCATGACTGAAATTTTAAGTTGCCAGGATATTACAGTCTCTCTGCATGTCTAGGTTACCATCAGAAGAGTTCACACTCTTGATGTTAGAGAATGAATCTAAAGGAAAAAGAGGAAATAAAGAGTTGAAAAATAAAATATAAAGAGCATATGTGTGTTTTGGAAGTGAAGGGTCACATAGAAGAGCAAAACGAGTTCTTCCACATCAAAGAGCTTGTGGAAGGCATTTTCAAAACACAGTTCAGCACTTTCTCTCCCATTGTACAACTGAGTTTTGAGAAAAAAGGCATCAGCTCCCAGCCCTTCAACTCTCAAACTTTGAGACCACTGGACTGCCCTTTGTCCAGTGCATTACAGACATGAAAAGATAAATGACTATTTGAGAGCATTTGAAGTGACATTCTCTCTGGTGTAAAAAGTTACACAATGCCCCAGAGGGCTTCACGTTGAAGTAGAGAGCTCTAGGAGGCAGCAATGTGTGTGCTGGGGAGCTCTCTGTGGCCAGCCTTCGGATCCACAATGGCTCCATACAGCTTACTATGAAGGAAAGCCAGTAATATCAACAGAGTTGAACAACTACTTGATCAGTACCTGCTCTCAGCTGTGAGAGAGGTTCAGAGTGACTCTCCCCTTTAGCTGCAGTGACTCTGGCATCTGTCTGTCACCCTGTGTGTCTCTCACCAAGAAAATGAATCTGGTTCATCACATGCTCCTAACAATGCTCTTTCTCAGATGTCCCTGCCGACAAGACTGCAGGTAAGAAACTACACTGACGTGACAGCAGCCCATTCTTGGCCCCCATTTCCCTGAAAGCTCACTACATTCTCTCCGATCCAGTGAGCCACGGTGTAGTCCAGAGACAGGACAAAGATCTGGAGGCCACCATCAGAAGAATGTGTTCAGCACACGGCTGTTCCCCAACCCTCTCTGAGGGATTTGCCATGAATTGCTTAACAGCCCCTCTTGGGGGTAGAGGCTCTGCAGAAGACAAGGTTGAGCCCTGGATAGAACCAGGAGGATCCATGGCCCTACCACCACTTGGAAGAACACTACCATGCCCTGCTCCATGGCATCTGTGCACACACACTGGACACGTAATCCTAACACACATAGATATATAATAGCAAATCCAGACCTGCAGCAATGACTTGTGCCTATGAACAAACCCTTTGGGCAAGATATCACACAGCATGTATAGGGGTACCAGAAGGCAGGGGGATATGTACAGGTTAGAGGTTGGGCTCTGAGAGATACAGCTCTGGGGTGCTTAACCTGAGAAATGGCAAACATTCATTTGGAACATGAAACAAGAAGTCCCAGTTTGGGAGACAGAACAGCTAGACCAAAAGCTCTTTTTAATTATTTACTCGCTGGCCATAACAGAGCGAGGAATAAAGAAAAGAGCTAATTTTAACACTCTTAAAGAACACCATCAAGGTTTATACCCTCTCAGTCTGATATTCCTATTAAAAACAAAAGCAAACAGGCTGATCTTCTGCAGTCTGCACAGAAAAGGCTAAATATGTAAGACTACCCTAGAAGCCAAGACTGATTGAAACCTCTTGGTCATCATAAACCAAACATTTTCAAGAGCATCTACTGCCTGCTTCAGAAGAAGGAATTTACATATCTGAAGCCAAATTCTGAAGACCGTCAGTGAGTCTCAAGTTCTTCAGCACCTTCAAATGGCATATTCACTCCTCCCGCCCCGTTTCCTCCCTTGTTCCCCTTTCTAAGATGTTGCTAAGGAGCAGTTTTAACACAGTAAGACCAAAGGATGGTGTCAGCAGGACTGCACCTTCCTGCTTGTGGTTGGGACATACATCTCCATCACTCCTCTGTGACTAAGGTAAATTCTAGCCACATTTACAGCAATATTTAATGAGTACAAGTCACATGGCTGAAATCCAGTCCTGAACACAATCATCTGAAAAGCTGTTCATATCACTTAGTGATCAGGAGTTATAGTTAGGCTTATTTAAAACTGAAAATATCAAATTCAGTTCTCCTTCCCCTAATCTCCTGCCTGCTGTCCTCTTCAGCCTTATTTGAAAAGTCTGTGGGGGTGGTGGGAGGGAAGGAAAGTGATTTGGGAGCTTCTCATCCATAAAATCATGAGATATGGCTGGCTTTTTAGTACAGCATTCACAGCACATGGCACAGTAACATCTTGAGATTCCTGGCACAAAGAAACAAGGTTTGAGATTATATATATCCTTAATAGCAATGACGCAAAGGCAGATGGTTCTCAAAGCAAAGGCTTAAGGCTAAACACTCCCTTTGAAGGTTCCTGCTACCAGAAACAAAATAGGGAGGTGGCAAAATACTCCTTGCTGCAGCAACAGGACCCAATTGCCTTCTAATACATAACATTTCACCCTGGAGATTTCCATTTATTTCAAGGAGATAGTATCATGAACAAGAGAAGAATTGGAAACAAAAGGAAAGGTTAGATTTTGCTTTGGGATTTGGGGAGTTTTCTTTCAGCTGTGGGAAACAAAGACAACACAGAACATAATGAGCAGATTAGCAACTAAATCAAATCGATACCAGAAAAGTGAGGTCTGTATAATACTGTCAGGGTGCGTGCTAGCTGCTTACCTGCAAAAGTTGCCTTGCCAGTATTACTTTTTAAGGGGCTACCCAAGCTGAGGTTGTGCTCATGACCTCCCATCTTCATGGAGGGTTCACCTTCTTCCTCAACAATAGGAGGAAGCTGATCAAGTGTCTGGAGATCTTCGTTTGTCCAGTAGGATCCATTGGCGATCAAAGACCTAGTGCTTTCAACACACTGCTCTGGTAAGCTGCTGGTATTTTTAACCTGCTTTTGCTTCTGCTGACTCATGCCAGAGCTGTGAGGGAGGTCTTGTGAATCAAGATCACGACCCCCAACGTGACCATCTTCTTTAGGATGTAAGTATTCCTCATCCCAGAGGTCCAAGTGTCGTTCATCATCCAATTCCTCAGAATAATCCTCATAAACTTTGCTATTCTCCAAGTCCCGGTTCCTCTCATCTTCTGATTTACGACCCACTCCACTTAAATTCAGCAGTGAAGCAGATATAGAGTCTCCTGCTTGTTGAATAGCTTCATATATTTGAGATATCCAAGATGACAGTGGCTGAAGGAAATTCTGAGCAGCCTCAGAAGCCATGTTTAACACTATGTAAGTATCTGGTGATCAGTTCAGCTTTGCCAGCATGTCACTTGTAATTCAGGTTGCTACAGAATAAGCATCGTAAGAGATTATTGTAAATTACTTGTCCATCAACACCTGTCGACACACCATGTAAGATGTGTAGAACTGAGAGAAGAAATGAAAAAAGCACTTCTACCCATTGAGAATAGCGTTAGAAATCCAGAAATGATGAACAAATTACATGTATTTCTGCAGAGATCTAGAAAGCTTTCATTCAATTGCTAAACCTTACATAAAAATAAAAACAGAGAACATTGGAACAGAAGTACCTTTTCTGAAGCACACACATGCTGGTTACAGCTGTCAACAGACCTGGAAAAGAAGTACAGAACAACCTGCAGTCAAATACCTCAAACAATCTCCTGGCCCTGACTTCTGTCATTAGCATTACCATGTCCAGATGGGAAAATTGAAGGGTCAAGAATTTGGTAAGAATTATGGTTTGATTGATTTAAGTGATAGGCCTAAGGTATGCAGAACCAGCCCACAGCAGACAAGTATGTCAAGTGTTTTGCTCCAGAAAGTCACGAGGATGGAGCCAGGCTCTACTCAGTGGCAAACAATGATAGGACAAGGGGTAATGGGTACAAACTGGAACACAAGAGGTTCCACTTAAACTTGAGAAGAAACTTCTTCTCAGTGAGGGTGACGGAACACTGGAACAGGCTGCCCAGGGAGGTTGTGGAGTCTCCTTCCCTGGAGACATTCAAAACCCACCTGGACACATTCCTGTGCAACCTTATCTAGGTGTTCCTGCTCCGGCAGGGGGATTGGACTAGATGATCTTTTGAGGTCCCTTCCAATCTCTAGCATACTGTGATACTGTGATACTCTGAAAGGCTCTGAAGAAGACCTCTCTGTCCACAGAGTAACACAACCCAACTTGTTTTGTCCTTCATGGAAATCAAAAACAAAACAAACAAACAAAACCAACTAAGCAAACAAGAAAACACACTCCAAAACAAACAAACAAAAACCCACCACCAAACAAAACACAGGAGGTAGAATATTATATGTATGAAATGACAGGGAACAGAAGCAAGTTAACAAGAGCATTGGAATCGTGTCAATGTATATTTTCTCAAAATTGATGTAAAGCCTAAATAAAAACATGACTTGCAGAAAGTTAAGGTGACTTTTTACCCAATATACATCTTCCCACATTATCACAAGACAGATATTCTTCTAGGAACCCTGAGAATGAGAAACCTACAAATAGGATGATGGGGTTAGGAAGAAAGAATGAAACAGTTGCAGATTTTAGGCTAAAAGACGACTGAAAAGAAACAAAAAGAAGAATCAAAAATGAATGCCACTTTCTTGCTGAACTTACAGATCTAGGTGCAGTCAAATTGTAAAAGGGTCAACCCAGTATAAACAGCAAGAAAATAAACTCAACAGCAATGTGTATTACCTTCTGAAATGGTCTCCAGAGAAACGTAGTGGGAATCCCAGTTATTTGTTTTTTTTAAAGGGAGCAGGGACTACAAAGATCCCACCTTGCTCAGTGAGCAGCTTTTTTACAGATGAGACCTAAGATGTCTTTACCTTTTGAAACACTTGTGCCAAATAATTTTGTTCAGTGATGTTGACTTAACACTGCAGATACTCCCAACAAGTTTATTATCAGCTTCAGTACATACTAAGAATTACAGTCCTAACAAGGGCAGGAAAGGAATGTAGGTTACTAAAGCCATTTTAAGAGCTGATGTCTGTTACAAACTCTCCAGGCATGGGGCACATACTGTTCCAGTATCTCCCTGTCAACCAAAAGCCTCTGGTTCAGCTCCTAGGACCCAGGTAATGCTCTCTGCCATGCATTAAATCTTTGGCAAAGAACAGACAATGTCATGGCGTAACCTTGCATGAGGTGAGCTGTTCCCTTCATTGACTCCTCTTTCCAATCCTGCCCTTGGCGAAGCCTCTCTGCTTTGTGCCATTTTTTGCACAAAGAGAAAAATCTATTTTCTCATAAACCTAAAATGATCACACACTTCAAATGACACATTTTTAGCATAATGCAGATTTGTTACTGGTAAGTCACATCACCAGAGAAATCACTAGCAGGAGATGGTATTTGTAACAGTGAGATTCTCATAGGCATGGAAGGAGATAAATTTGAGTGGGTAAGTACTGGTTACCGGATACATTTTTAACCTGTCATTTATTTACAGGCAACAGCGAATCAATCTCTGATTTTAGATGAAATAAGAACTTCATAACACTCTGCCTCCGTCTCAGCAGCAAGACACATGACAGCAGTAGCCCTTGGAGGGATGCAGGCATCCAGGAGTGATAGCTAACCAATGCAGATAAAACATATGGGTGCTAAAATGAAGTGCTGATCTGTTCTAAAAATCAGCAGAACATAGACTTGTGATATTTGCACAGGGAATAATTAGCTCCTCTTGTTATTAGATTTCAGAGCTAACACCCAATCGGTCCAACAGAGCCATCCCACTTCTCCCGGATGCTGTGGCTGACTGTACCACAGCTCAGGCAAACATCGTGGTCCTGCACAAGAGACTCCTCGTTAGGCATTGCAACTATAAAGATGGAGGGAATTTCTGAAGGTGAGATTTTACTTTAGTCAGGGAATTAAAGCCATGATCTCCAGTCACCTGCATGGCTTGGATGTGGTCATTCAGCTATCCAAAGAGGCAGATAAGACTTGAACACACAGCTTTCATATACCTAGTAGTTGACCCAATAATCTTGCTATAAGTAGGCTAGGGGAAAACATGACGCATACATACAGAGATATATAGATATAGATATATATATATATATCCATAATTCTACATAAGACCTGCAAATTTGCCTGAAGTGAAGCTGGAGAATTCCAACAAATGGTTTTATTTCAGTTTATAGACAATGGATAGACACTGAAGTATATTTCACCCAAAAAGTCTGAACCACTTTGCAGTAACACCCGCGACACGTCTGTCCCAACTTGCAGTCCAGCACCTGCATAATCCCTACAGGTAAAAGCAGTGCAATTTTCACAGTACCTGACTGTTTAAGCTTTGCTTGGCTGCTCCTCCTGCCCTCTACCTCTTTACAAAGACTCTACAGTCAGTGATAGCTGAACAACTGGAGTTCAACTGAATTCTAAATTGCTTATTTTTGGTCCTGCAGCAGATGGATAAAATGTGTAACAAGCTGCAGACAAGTTTAAGCGGGCAGCCTTTTTACAAACTCAACAGAGGATCAAAGGGGGCTGAGCTCTGTTACAGACTTGCTGTTTCCCAGGAGCTCTCTCCCTTAATTAGCAGGCACTGCTCTAACAGGGTGTTTATAATATATTTCACAATGTGGCCTTTTCAGCATAACAGATTTTTACTTTTGAATTCTCTAATAATTTTGACTTGTATTAGAAAAAAAAAAAAAAAAAGAACTGAGAAGATAATTTAAAATGTGTGGGAAAGAAAAATCCATTCCTTTTTAAAAGCATTCATGAAGAAAGAGACAGGGGAAAAAAAAAACAGTTTAGCAAATTCACTTCAAGTTCCATCTTCTAAAACTAACAAGAAGAATCTTCACACTGAATCGCTTGCTTAACTCAAAGCTTTTTTTTTTTGTTTTCCTCTTGGAAAATCAGCTAAAAGGATCAATGTTAAGCCTCTCACAGAAACCATCATAACCTTTACTACGATCTATATTAACTTGGCTTGATGAGATCATTGTTACTGAGTAGCGTTCCCATTGAGAAGTGCAATTACTGTGTGGCTAAAAAAAAAGAAAACTATTAGCAGAATTTCAAACACTACCACAATGCAGAGGTTTGTAATATTAACAAAGTGTCTTTCCATTTTCTTGATATGCAGGCTCCTAAAAAATTGCTATCAGATGAGGTTTTCTTAGAACATTTCCCTTATTCAAGCTGTCATAGAGCGTAGGCACAAACTGCTTTTTCTTCAATCACTTTTTGTGTGGCCTTGCAGAAGCTGCCTACCAAACTCTTCCATTGTAGGGAGGTTCATAGACCACAGGTTGAAAACAGTGTCCCAGCATATAACAACTGAACAATTTTCAAGTAAGTGCTTATTTCTAAAACACTAGATGAGGAAGAAATCTACAGCCTCCCTCCTCTGCCTGGGAATTTACTGTCCCATGTAGAGACACAAGAAGAGATCAGCTCCCAGCTTTCAATGGTTCTAAGACATTTTGGTCACATCAGTGTTTTAGGAAGACCCACTTCTTTTTCCAGTGCCAAGAAAACTGTACCAAAAAAAAACTTCTTTGGCAGTTTGGGCAAGCTGCTGAATCCATCTGTCCACAACTGAAACTCTGAGTGGTGAGCTGGGTCACCGGTTTAGACAGCCACACTTCATGTATCCAGATGAATGATTCCTCTGCCTTCCCCACTTTCTAGAAATTTTATTTAAGACATTGATAATGATTTATCTTCTGAGCTCACTGGCTCTTCATGTCCACCTGACATGACATAGATCATATCCATGAACAGGAGCTTTATTTGTGTGAACATCTAGGAAAAGCAGTGTTACAGACCCATCATGAAGTCCTGCTCCAAGCTTAGGAGGAAAGATCTAAACCAAAGTGTGAATCTCAGCTTTTGCCTAGAACATCAAGGTTCTGTGCAAAACACAAGGTCATTTTGCTGTTCATGAAAGAAGGGAGTAAGGAAGGCTTGGAGGGGTAAGATGATTTAATAATTTTTTTTAAACTATTCAAAACTATAATGACCCTGATCCTGCTCTTTTGGATTGGAGCCCCAATTATCACACACATAAAATAGCAGAGGAAAGATTCGAAATGTACTCCACTGAAGGCAGGCAGCAGCAGTACTGGGCCAAGAAATCCTCTGTCCCAGTTCTGGGAACAATCTGGACTCCTCACTCCTCCTGTAGTTGCCAGAATCATATTTAAGGAAATGCTAACAGAGCCCTTCCAACCTCACAGTGAAGGATAACCAAGCAATTGGTTTGAAGTTGTTGATGCCCCATTCCTGGAAGTGTTCAAGGCCAGACTGGATGGGGCTTTGAGCAACCTGGTCTAGTGGAATATGTCCCTGCCTGTGGCAAGGGGTGTGGAACAAGATGATCTCTAATGTCCCTTCCAACTCAAACCATTCTGTGATTCCATGATTCTGTGAAACTGTATTTCCAATGAAAATTTCACAGTGTCAAAACCAGCCTCTGCACTTGAGGCTGCTCAGCTGATTGGAGCCCCTTGCAGAAGCATTATGAGGGAAGCTCACAGACATTGCCCAAGGTTCACATCAACTGTGGGTGTCACTGCTGACCAAGTTTCCCTAAGGTAAAACAAAACAGAAATAGAGAACATCTTGG